ATTTATTTTTTTGTGTGATGATAGTGTAAATAGCGTGTTTTCATGTTAAGATGTCTTGTTCACCCAATTTGCCAACAAAAAGCAAAGATATTTTGGGAATTGACTTGTGTGTGATAATGACTTTAAATTAGTAGCATTTACTTATGCATGCCCTTTATGAAAATGCCTTAGGAATCCCTATACATTGTCATTTTGGCCAAGTTGGATATTTTGACTTCCTCTAGAAAGAAAAAAAACTAAATCAAAATCTTTGCTAACAAATGGACTAGAGGGAATTAAGCAAAAAAAAAAAAAAAAAAAAAAAAAAAAAAAAAAAAAAAAAAAGAAAAAAGGGAAAAAAAAAAAAAAAAAAAAAAAAAAAAAAAAAAAAAGAAAAGAAGAAGAAGAAGAAGAAAGGGACTAGAGGGAATTCAGATTTTGGACCATTCTTTAGTTTTTCCGCCCCATCAAATGGTTTCCTTTCGGCTATCAGAAATGGACAACAAATTGAGAAGTCAAGAAAATACCACCACTTCTAAGTTCTTCCTTTTTATAACGTGGAATACGACAGCAATGTGCAGAAAAAAGTAGAAGAAAAATGTTACTTATTCAAATTAGTATGCATTTTAATTTTAAGTGTTAGATTGCATGTCTTAACGGTAATTGCACAAATAATGCCACCAAAAGGGTGTAAAATTTGAATCTCTCATAGCCCATTTCAAAAAAAAAATAAAAAAATAAAAATAAAAAAGTATGAGTTAATAGTTTAAGTTAAAAAGTTATCTGATTGAAATACATGAAACATTAAAAATAAGATAACAAAACAAAAAAATAAAATAAAAGTGTTGAAACTTGAAAAGTAAAGAAAAAAGAGTAAAGCACCTAAAAATTACTGTTTTGGAGTACCAATAAGATAAATATAAATTATAAAATAAAAAAATAAAGAAGTTGAAAATTAAAAATAAAAGGGAAAAAAAATAAAGCGCATAATACCATTTTGGACAACCACATAATGAACAGTAGCCACTTATCTATTGTTTCATAGAACAAAAAAAAGAGATAAGTTTAGAATAAAATAAAGGAGATATAGAAAGAAAAGACAGAGAGAAGTACCAAAACAGCTCGTAAAGGACAACCAAAAAAAATTGGCAGTATAGCTTCCACCCACTATTTTATATATTTGGTACTAAGATTTAGGATTAAAATTTAAGATTAGGACAGTAATAGAATTTAAGATTAAAATTAGGATTAAGATTTAAGGTTTAGGATTAAAATGTATATACCTTCTATATTCAGCTACAAAATTATAAGCAATAAAAGGAAAAAATAGATCTATAATATTGTTGTATAAAGAACCTAATACAAATTAGTTAGAAAAGAGTTTAATTAACATTTTAAAAAACCACCCACACAACTGCATTAATATATAATAGGATAGAGGATGAACGAAATATATATATATATATATAGGATAGAGGATGAACGAAATATATATATATATATATAGACACACAAAGGAAAAGGAATGAAGGAGAAGGAAAAGGGAAAAAAAAAAAAAAGACTCAAGTGTTGGATCTTTCAATCCTAGTTTCACATTTCAGGAATCATCACACCAAATTACTAAGAAAATAAGTTAAAACTCTGACCTGTTTCCATTGATGCAACCTTTAGATCTCCGGTAGAATTCTCTAAGACAGCGAGCACGACGGTTATTGCCTTCCTCAATTAAATCTCCTTAGTTCCTTAATGGTATGTTTTCTCTCTAGATGGGGAAGAATGAAAACTGCCTTACGTATTGAAAACCATAACCTAAGTTTCTTTATATATTGCCTCATTAAGCTCCCATTAAACCTAATTGGGTCAATATGGGTATCCACCCATTCAGCCCATATCCTGTTAGGAGACTAATTGAGCTTTCCATAATTAGATCACTTAAATTAGCCCAAATAATTAAATAGCTTAATATAATTATTGAATAACATCAAGCACCAAATACGGTGCGTTTTTGACGACTATGGGAGGAATAGTAGAGCCAATATAGGCTCTTTTATATATTTAGGATATACAATTATATATAAATAATATGATATACATATATATAAATATATATATATATATATATATATATATATATGTATTTCATTTTTTGAGGAGTGCCCACTTATGATGGAGAGAGGAGATCACCATCCCATGTGGTCACAAGGAGTGATATGCTAAATTTGCAAGTTCGCTTGGCCCTTTGAACATGACCCTTCTATGACTAAACTAAACAAGAAATTGAAAGGAAAAGACAACAAAGAGAAGAAGAAAACCGAAGCACCCAGATCTGTATTTCTGGATGTCTTCATTCCATTCATTTTTTTTTTTTTTTTTTTTTTTTTTTTCCTGAAGCTGTATGCTGTACAAGAGCATTTACAATTGTTTGAGTCCGTGACTCAAAAACTGTCAAACGTAAGAGCAATTGTTAATGGGATTGCTCGAATTTAGACATATAACCTAATTTTACTTGTCACGTCGAAATACAGCAAAAAAATTTAAAAGTTGTATTACCAATACAAAATTATAATAATTACTACATAATTTTAATAACCTAAAACGTGACAATCATTGTAATATCATTATGTAATTGTGACGTATACTTTTACAAATATGGCATGTTGTGTAATTTTTACTTGCTCGTATGTTAAGGCCATGTCGCAGGGTGGGCCAAAGTCCCACCAGGTCCATGATATCCCTAAAGCACAAGAGTATTTTTCTGGGGAAATAGTAGAAAATTGGCTAATGAAAAGCTTAAGAAAGTATATAGGTAAATTTTTAGTTATAGAAATTAATAGGTCATAACTTGTCAAGTTATGGTTTATAACCAGATAAGTTATGGACAAACTTGTCAAGTTATGGTTCATAGTCAGACAAATTATAGACAATTATGGACAATAACTTGTCAAGTTATGGTTTATAACTAGACAAGTTATGGACGAAAATAATAATTTAGCCTATTTATTAATTTATGTAAACTATTGACCTATTAATTTTAATTCATCTCAAATCTTGACATATTTTCCTCTTTTTCCCTTTTTTTGAGCCAGAAGTATTAATATGTTGTCAATCTTATAAAGGTTATGCATAGGATTCTTGATGTTCTGGTCAATTATATAAGTTGATTCAAGGACTGTTCATTTTGTGTAGATTGTCTAGAATTGGCTTCCTGACCTAGTATTGGGCTAATTTTTTTTTGTAACCTATGAAGGCAGGCAAATTCAGATTTAAGTGATATGCCTGGTGAATAAAAAAGTACTTTTCACAGATACCAATGCACTTCCGTTGTTATTTAGAGAAGTTGGACTTGTTCAGTTGTATTTTTAAAATATAGTGACTTGAGTTTAAATCTTAAGTTGAATTTGAGTTATAACTTGAGTTGAAATTATAATTTGAGTTTGTATTTAGATGTGCACATTTGAGTTATGGTTTGAATTGAGAATCTAATTGAGTTTGTGTTTGAGTGGGTCAAAACTTGAATTTGTATTTAGATAGTATTTTAATAAAAACTCAATGGTGATGAAAAATTTTAATAGGGTATATAGGTAAGGTTTTATTCGTCTCTTCGTTGTGAACGCATAGAAAAAAAAATCATCTTAATCAAAATTAAAACGAAAAAGTTATGACGTTTTTAAGAATAGAAAAAATATTGTTCATTAACTTGAGTTTGAGTTTATGAACTTGAGTTGAAGGAAGAATTTAAATTCAGATTTTAACCCCAAACTCAAATTAAAATTTAAGTTAAAACTCAAGTTTAAACTTAAATTTTACAAAAGAACGTGAACTTAAATAAAGTTGTAACTTGAGTTTAAATTTTTATTTTTAAGTTTTAGTACAAAAGAACACACCTTAGAATTTTGAACTCAATTTCTGCTTTTGATACAAGTAAAAATAAAATCTTTCTTCTATAAGAACACAAATCTCAAACTAAGCGTGGCTTCTTTGAAATCTTCAATGTCTTATAATGATGTTTAAGAAAAGAGTCGATAGAGATATGGGAGTGGATATATAACAGCCTTCTAACAGCTTTGCCCAAAAATGGCACTCTTTGTTGGAAGGAAACTTGTAATGATATTCTCAAACCAGGGATTCAATTTGTAGTGATGACAAGTTTCTTGCAAGAGAGATAAAGATGTTGAGTAGATGAAATATGAGAAGAGTCTCATTTAAAGACATGTTAAATTAATTAAGTGCTTCACTTCTTTATGGTCAGGAAAAATAATGGAGACAGCAGTTTTGTCTTCAACCTAATAAGTTGGTGGGGCTTTAAAATATAGATAGCTTTTTTTTGGGAAAATTCATAAACCAGCAACTTGGTTATTACAGCTCTATCGGTATAGATCATTGAAGTTTAAATGCATTGACGCCAATTTTCTTGATACTTGAACGCCCCGTTCACTTCACTTCGCTAATTCGAGTTTAGAATTCGAGTTTTTCTACAGTAAAAAACTCTCACAAATAATCACATTTAACTTTTTTGCTACAGTAAAAAGCTCTTACATAAAATCACATCTCAACTCGAATTCTAAACTCGAATCAGTAAAGTGAACGATGCCGAATAATCTGTTTATTTTACTCGTTTGAGTTGAGAACTTAAATTAAAAAATGATTTCACGTGAGTTCAAAAAAAAAAAGCCAAAAAAAAAGGGAATCTGACTTGATTTTTGTTGATGAGTTCAAAGAAAGGGAAGGAAGTGAGAACTTTCTAAGTTTTGTACTTATTCACAAAGAGAGAAAAACCATAAATGAAAAAGGTGATATAACGTCATACCTGGACAACAAAGATAAGAGACAAGAAATGGCAGCTTGATTCCTCTGCACCTATCTAACATATAACTAAAAAAAAAACCAACAAGTTCATTAACGAAAGTGAGTACAAAAAAGCAATTGTAATTCATTACCAAATAGTCTACCTAAACATAAACTTGTAATTGCATTGTTGTCAACAAATAGTCAGGTTTCCAAGCTATCAAAAACCAGCACATTGCTCGCATGTTGACCGTGTGTCTCTCCTAAATAAGACCTCCTTCCTAACGGTACACTCATCGTACTATATTCCTCTTCCGAATCTGATGTTTGTTTCTTATATTCGTCATTGATTCTGAATCATAATTCATAGTTTTTTATAATATTTTTCTCTCATAAAAAACACACGTAAAATGAGAATGGTTCTGAATCATGATTCTGAATCCATAGAATCATCCATGAACGAAACGTCCACTAAATTATGACTTCATCTTCCTTCCTAGTGCTTCCTACTTATAGTAAACTTTTCACTCCGACATTAAACGCGCGCTTCAAGCTACTTTCTCGTTTCAGGCTGCAAGTTTTCTCTACTTTCATAGCTAGAAACACCGGCTAGTGGCAACGATGAGAGATCGAGTTCTTCAAGAGCCTGAGGTGAGAGTGATAATTAATGTTACTAATAGTGTGAACTGTGCCTGGGATTCTATAAGAGTTCCAGTTATAGTGCCACTACTACGCCTAGCAATGATATTGTGCTCGGTCATGTCAATTCTTCTTTTCGTCGAACGGCTTTACATGGCAATAGTGATATTGTGTCTGAAAGTGTTGGGGAAGAAAAGATACACCAAATATAGGTTAGAGAGGATGAAAGAAGACCTGGAGCTTAACAAGAGCTACCCCTTGGTTTTGGTTCAAATACCTATGTTCAATGAGAAAGAGGTATGACAAATTGCTGGTTAAATTTAACAAATTCAAACAGTGTTCTGTTTGAGCATGTGATAAAAAAAAAAAAAAAAAAAAAAAAAAAAAAAAAAAAAATTAAAAATGGAAAGGAAAAAAAAAAAAAAAAAAAAAAAAAAAAAAAAAAAACAGATATTGATAGTCATATCTAGTCAACTATACTGTGAAGTCAGTCACATCTTTTTGTCTTAGCCAATGATTTTTTTATAACATTTTATCTATGAAATTTGCAATTATATGATGTGTGGTATAATACAAAGCTGCGAAATATTTACCATATATGCTCGCTTAGACTGAAGTGATACCATGGTTCAATTAGTTTCGACTATGGTTGACACATTATCTTTTCTCTAACAAACAGTTGTTTATTTACTCAATTTCTGTCCAGGTTTACAGGCTTTCAATAGGGGCTGCGTGTGGAATTACATGGCCATCCGATCGCCTCATAATTCAGGTTCTCGATGATTCGACAAATGAAGAGTTAAAGGTACATATGTATCTAACCCCTAGAGAACTGACATTATAGACCAAATAAAGCTGTAGATTTTTCACTGCATTCGCTTATCTGCAGGAGTTGGTGGAGTTGGAATGCCATAGATGGCTGGAGAAAGGGGTGAATATCAAGTATGAAACTAGGAACAACAGGAATGGTTACAAGGCAGGTGCCCTCAAAGAAGGTTTAGAGAAGCATTATGTTGAGGACTGTGAGTTTGTGGCGATCTTCGATGCAGATTTCCAGCCTGATGAGGATTTCCTGTGGAGGACCATTCCATATCTGCTTGAGAATCCTGAGTTGGGCTTGGTTCAGGCCAGATGGAAATTCGGTATGACCATATTATGATATAATCAAATAGATCATGACCATCTTATTCCTATGCCTCGTATCATGAAAAACGGCATGTCTGATAACATTTCATGCCATTTTACTAGTAATCATTTTACTTTCGTGATTTCTCGATAGTGAATGCTGATGAATGCATGATGACGCGACTTCAAGAGATGTCGCTAGATTATCACTTCAGTGTTGAGCAAGAAGTGGGCTCCTCAACATGTTCATTCTTCGGGTTCAATGGTAAACCATATCATAGAACTCTTTTTGTTCCATTATGAAATATGACCATATAAGTTTCTATTCTTATGCAACTTATTTTCACAGGAAGCGCAGGAGTTTGGAGAATCCAAGCCATAAAAGATGCCGGTGGATGGAAAGACAGAACCACGGTGGAAGACATGGATCTAGCCGTCAGAGCTAGCTTAAAGGGTTGGAAATTTGTCTTTGTAGGGGACTTGGCAGTAAGTATATGATCTCCTCTTCCGGTTTTTTTCAACTTAAACCATTTCTAATCAATCCGACACTATGCCTATTATGCTAGGTTAAAAATGAACTACCAAGTACCTTCAAGGCTTATCTGTATCAGCAACACCGATGGTCATGTGGACCAGCTAATCTCTTCAGAAAAATGACCAAAGAAATCATCCTATGTGAGGTAAATAAACAACTCAATGAAAACAAGAAAGACATGTAAAACTTGAAACAAATTCATTTATTCACTCACTTTAGTACCTTTTACATTATCATGCAGAGGGTGTCAATCTGGAAGAGACTTCATCTGATATACGCTTTCTTTTTCGTGCGGAAAATTGTCGCCCACTGGGTCACATTCTTCTTCTACTGCATTGTTATACCAGCTAGTGTTGTAGTTCCTGAAGTCAAACTCACAAAGCCGATTGCCGTTTACATTCCAGCTACCATTACTATTCTTAATGCAGTCTGCACCCCAAGGTTAGCAAAACAAACACCAAAGTTTCTTTCTTTTCCATTTGATCTCCAATAGTATAGATCATAGAAAAAACTCAAAAAAACTGTTACCTTTTGAGGCAGGTCTCTGCACCTAGTTGTGTTTTGGATCTTGTTCGAGAATGTCATGTCGCTCCATCGAACAAAAGCTGCAATCATCGGACTCCTAGAAGCAAACAGGGCCAATGAATGGGTTGTGACTGAGAAGCTTGGGAACACAATGAAGCTCAAGAACAGCTTGACAATCTTAAAGAAGCCTAGGTCTAGAACAGTGGAAAGGTAATTCTTTTTTTCTTTTTTCTTTCTTCCCAAATACTAAACATATCATGGTATCCTAAAACTGATTATGTTGAAACAGGATTCATGTATTGGAGCTGCTAATGGGAATGTTTATGCTGCATTGTGCAGTGTATGATATGCTTTATGGGAAAGATCACTTCTTTTTGTATTTGATGATGCAAGCTGGGGCTTTCTTCATAATGGGGTTTGGGTATGTTGGAACTTTTGTTTCTAGTTAGTGTGAAAAAGATAAGTGTGGGGGTAGTCTAAGCACTTACCAGATGGGCCCAAAATCACAAGTTTATACTATACATTTGCAGTAAGAACTTTTACCTTTCTAGGTTGTAACTCTCTTAGGAAATCACATAACTGTACAGAAAGTCCATTTGGCACTCAAATGTTAATGGTTTTAGCACAAGAATACCAAATTGTTTTTAGTAGTTTAACAGCAATCCTTTTTTTTCCCCCCCATGAAAAACGGCAAAAGAACATGTTCCACGATTTTCTGAAATAGCATTCAGGGAGTCCAAAGTCAATCACTTCAAATCATATTCGGCAAGTCGATGAGAGACATTAATTTCAACCCCACTACAGACGATGAGAATCGATCCCTGAGTACTAAGTCAGAGAGCTCTAATAGGTCGTCATTGACTGCCATGCCGTCACCATTGGTGGTAGTTTAACAGAATTATTGAAACGTGACGTTGTAGGCAACATTGTATGAGGATTAATGATAAGATTTTGTGAAAGATTATGTAACAGATGATATAAGAAAGTGCATTTTGCTCTTTCCCCCAAGCGTCGTTATGAATGATATCAACACCCAAGTAAGATTCCATGAATAATAATCCACTCATGTACAGACGCCAAAAATCTAAGCTTAGGATGAGCTTAGGAACAAAATTACCAAATTTTTTAAGGTTATCCATCCATATCTCTTACTTGGACGGATTAGGAATTTATAGTCCCAACTACCAATCACAAAGCATGACGAAACTCTCTACTCTCAAAAACGCAACTGAAATTTACCTAAACAAAAAAAGTAAATGAAATAGTTCTTAAAATGGCAACTTTTTTTAGGGAAACAGTTAGAAGTTGCATGAAAATAACAGATTGTCAATGCCTTCTATACTTTGGCACAGCAGTTACTGTGCAAACAAAAACAATATACAAAACCCGCCTTTCTGGAAAAAAAAAAAAAAAAAAAGAGAGGAGGCTTGAACTTTTTTATTTTTTTTTTTGCACAACCGAGATTTTACACTTCCAAGTGAGAGCCGAAAAAAGGGAATACAGATGATGCTACAAAGGAAGAGATATATATGATTGACATGAAGAAAATAGCAGCCTTGATTGGTGCTCCGTTAAGTTATATTAATATTTAGCCAAAAAATATTTTTACGTAAGAAAAAATGAGCAAAAAATGATTCAATAATTGGCTAAAGCTGGATCAACCTATAAGAATAAAATAGACCAAAAAAAAAAAAAAGAAAAAGAGTACAAAAATTGGAGTCATCTAATCTTCTCACTCTAGCTCATCCAGTTTTATCTCATTCTGTTCACCGGTAGCAAGGATCTTTACACCAACCGTACCCCGTTGCCACTCAGAACTGCCGACCAATATCAGCCTCTCAGCATTTATCCGCGCTGCCCGTTTAAACACCCTGAAAGAGAACGAGTTTGATGCAGGGGATAATTATACTTTGGGATAATTATACTTTGGACGTTGAAGAAAAGAAATAAGAGAAAAAAGGCAGTTGATTTTACCATTTAAGCGGTTTGTTCTCGAGGACTAAATCAACACTCTGCCCCTTATCCCTGAGAATGGTGGCAACTGTAGCAGCTGCTCCTTGAAGATTGGGATCTAAAGCACACACAATGTTTTTGACTTCGAGGTTTAGTTCCGGTAGAAGCCCCTTGTCCTTAAGCAACTGCGAAACGCATCACCAAAATTTATACAGGGAAATAGGAAAAAGATATGATGTAGCTTAATAATCACAGAAGCAAAATTTGTGGAATCAGGAAACAAGAAACGTGTCGAAACTTTTTAATGTGACATTTATGGTTAAAAAGAGTGCAATGCATGACAAGAAGTATCAAATGCTAGACAAAAGGCTCAAGATCATTAAATCAATTTTAATGATACTGCAAGCACAAAATGGAGATTCCATGGAGATAATAAAGCACTTTTTTTTTTGGGGGGAAGGAACTATCTAAAACAAGTGGACATAGAAAGCTTCACTTACTTCTACTATAACAGCATCACCAAATCCAAAGCCACAAGCAGGAACGTCATCACCACCAAAAGTAGAGAGTAGCTGATCATATCGTCCACCCCCACAAATGGCTCGCAACTTTCCTTGTCTATCAAAACCCTGAATAAAAGGAAAACAAAATGAATATTTTCTCAAATTCATTCAGCAAGTGTTTGAACAACTATGTAAGGGATAAGGCCACAGCCAAAGGTAAAAAAGATACAGAAAGGCCTAACCTCAAAGACAACACCAGTGTAGTAGGCAAGACCACGTACAACGGACGCATCAAACTGAACCCACTCAGAATAACCAAACTTTTCAGCAAGTGAAAAGAGCTGTTTCAGTTCAGCAATTGCTTCCCCAGCGCCTCCAATTATTTCTAATGCAGAGAGGAAGCACGGTTATAATAGAAACAACGCACAAACACAGTTGATTTTAGTGCATTAGGCAAAACCTGTAGACGACAATGATTTATGATATTCAACCTACCAACCTTCCAATGTTGTCAATGACTTTATTGAAAGAACTTGCAGTATCTGCTCCACAGCTTCTGTTGATACACCAACAGCCTTCAACTCTTTCTTAATATCATCCAATGGAAGTTTCCCAATCTGATTACCAGCAAAACCGAAAATGGAAAAGTTAAAAGAAAGAATTAACACGTTACTAGAATATTTTACATTAAAGAGAGGCATTTAGCTATTCATTTTCCGCAGAAATGGATAACAATATGACAGCCATAATAACGAAGAACCAGCAAAAAGTGCTGTGGCTGCTGAAACTTGCTACCGACTTAAGACAACTTACTTTGTCTATGATGATGCAAACTTTGGCAAACAAATCTTCATGTATTGAGTAGTGGCTCAGTACTTCTTGTAAAAGCTGTAAACAAAGAAATATAAGAACAATATGCTCATGCTTTTGTTACCAAAGATGTCAATAGATAAAAAAACTCTTATACACTGTTTTTTGGTCTATGTATCCATTAAGAGATAACAAAACAGCCAAGAAACATTTCACAAACGTCAAAAATATAGCTGAGAACTCATTTCCCATGTAAAAATGAATAAATCAGATCTCTTGCTTGAGACAAATAAAATTACGGATTCAGAAAAGTTTATGGAACTGACCAGAGCAATTGAGGGCAGCGAAAATCAGTATTAAGTTCAGATACAGTATGTCCAAAAATAGTTTGTCGGTCCCAGATTAAAAGTCCACGTTGGCCATGGCCTATTGGAACTGGGCTTTCTGCCGCTTCTAACACTATTTGCATAGGTCCGTGCCTAGATTTACTTTCAATAATCCCAGTATCATAAAAATTAATTAAACCCAACATGGAGAAGTATATAATGACACAAAGCCTTTGCAAACAGAACTCTTCAGAAAAACAACAACAATGTCATGAAAGACCTAAGTCCATGTTCGTAAAAGAAGAACCATTCCCACCTTCCGGCTTGAAACCTTAAACCCAACATCAGATGCTGTGATTCCAATTCGCTTGAAAAAGGTGACGATCGAAGAAATAAGTTCCGCTTCGGCCTGAACAAAGAGAGTGACGAAAATTAAAGCTTCACGGTCTACAATAAGCCAACACAATCGTGATGACTTGGGATGCAAATGACATTAAAACAGAAGAACAATAACAAAGGAAGCCAATTTTGCAGTGCATTACCGTGACCTCTGGTACACCAATGATATCCATATTCCATTGGTAGTGCTCTCGACGGCGTCCCCTCGTCATTCGCTCATACCGCCAACATTGTCCCACGGCATACCATTTCACTGGGAGAGAAAGAGATTTTCTGGACAAGAAAAAACATCGACATCAAATTCTGGCATCTGTACCTGGACCCAAAAATCATAAGTAAATAAACAGGTGATTGAACTGTAATTTGGGGTACATTTACCAGCTAAAATGACAAAGCAATAAGGCAAAAAACAATAGAATTTTGTCTTATTTTTTCAAAAAAGAAAGTCCCAGGATCATACTGAAGAACTAGAACTTCATTACCCTTTCTGTAACACCAGTCTTGCCAGAGAAGGAGTCAGCTCAGGCCTCAAGGCAACGCGGCGATTTCCACGGTCTTCGAAACAATACAGCTGCAGATTTATTTTGATTATTGAGCAAAAACTAAAACAAGGGTAAGAATTTTTGCATAATTGACATTCAATTTCAACTCATTTTCATTTTTCTGAAGCAGCAAAAACTTGTTTACAAATTACAATAGTCAGTTAATTTGAAATAAAGGCTCTAACTTCTTCAACTACAATTGCTATGAATAATGAATTTATACTATCAGTGTTCCAAACAAACTTAAAAAATATGAATTCATTCTGATTCAATTTTGCATTATTGAGATTCAATTTCAACTCATTCTGATTTTCCTGAAGCAGCAAAGAATTGTTTTCAATACTAAATCAATTCGAAGTAAAGGCTCTAACTTCATCAATGCAATTGCATATGAAAAATGTATTGCTTTAACTAGAATAAAAAATCCAGAAATTAAGCAATTAAAGAAAAGAATGACCTGCTCTCTAATCTCCTCTCCGGCTTTTCTGATGTACAGAGCTTCCGACTCAAGCACCGGAAAATCGACCTCTTCGAATCCAAACAACCGCGAAACCTGAAGAACAACGAATCCTTTGTTTGAGTTAAAGGAAGAATTAAGATGTAATAGACGAAAGAAGTCGATTGAGAAACACTAGAAACCTCTCTGAAATTCTGGAAAAGCCAGTTGCGAAGCCGCATTTCCTCGGGCGGGAAATCCCTGGTTCCTTTGGGAGGATTTACGTCGATCCTCTGCAATTCCTCCACCACCGGTGTCTGCGGCGGTGCGATAGCTCTGCTGCCGCCGCCGCCACCGCCATTTTCGGTCGTAGACTGCGCGAACGCCACAGAAGAGAGACTTCTCGAGTTCGCAGAGAAGAGCGGATTGGGGATGGCTATTGTGCGAGCGCGACTGAGTGCGAGTGAAGAAGAAGAGGAGGAGGAGGGACGAGCGAGGGAGACGAACAAGGGCTTCAGGAAGCTCAAGGACTTGGAAGCAGCAGCCATGGTGGCGAGAGTGATAGGCACGCGCTAGATTGGATCAGATATTGGGTCTTCCATTTTTTTGTATTAAACTAGTTGATTTTTTTTTTCGCGATATGGAATGGAGGTCCTAATTTGTTTTTGAAAATTAGTTTACGTTTTCTATATTGTTTTCTTAAAAATTAAATTCAGTAAAAAAATATTAAATAAAGTAAAATTCAAAGAAAAAGGTTTTGATTAAGAAAAGAAAAAGTATTTAAGTACTTAATGGGACCATTAGAGGAAAAAAATATTTATAAAGGTTACATTTAAGAAAAAAGAACGTATTGTAGAGAAAAAAAAATGAGGAAAGAAAGAAGTGAAGGGAAAAAGGAAAAATAAAAGTTAAAAAGAAAAGTTTAAACATAAAAAAAAACCTTTTTTTGAGTTTATGCGGAGAAAGAAACATGCGAAATGTTCTATCCTGCAAAAAAAAAAAAAAAAAAAAAAAAAAAAAAAAATTTCTCTAAAGGAGAATGGAATAGAAATAGGTAAAAAAATAAAAGGAGTGAAAGATAAAAAAACAAAAAATAATAAAAAGAAAAAGGAAAAAAAAAGTAAGAAGGACTGTCACGTGGTAACTCTCTCCTTAGAGCATTGTACAAAGAGTCATGCGCTTTTTTTAATGAGAAATTATTCAGTGTATTAGGTATATCACATCATTTTGTCTATGTAGTATACCCGTCTAAAAAATTAACATTTAGATACTTTGTCTACGTCAACTATTTATAATTATATTTCTCTTTTCTAATGTGTATTGCATTATTTGTTAAGTTAAAATCACCATAATTATTTTATCAAACTCTTTTATATTAATTAATTAATTAACTTTAATTAATTTTTTATTCTTAATTTATTAGTTTTTTTTATTAGTTTTCTCTAATATCTTACTTCATACTTGATAGGAAATACATACATATATATATATATATACTGTAGAAAAGCAATAAATACAAAATAATAATTACTAGACATGAAATATGTAGGAGTGTTCACGGATCGGATTACGCAGATTAGGAGTCAATCCGTAATTCAATTCGTTATTGCGGATTAGAAAAATCTTAATCCGTTACCAGTTCGTAAGCCTCTTAATCCAATCCAATTTAATCAGAAAATAATGGATTTCGCGTATTAAATTATGCGGATTTGTGAATTGACGTATGTTTTGAACATTGACTCTTATAGCTTCTCTTTTTTCAATATTATCATAAAATTAATAACAAAATTAAACACAAACGTGATAACATTAAAATAGTTTCATAAAATCTAAACATGACAACACGTTTTGCCAATTGTCATTTTAATGAGGTAGTATTCCAAATATTAGGGGGAGAAAATAAATAGCTGGAAAAGGAAATTATATGGTATGAACCATCATTGTTGCATCTTCATCCTTACACAAAACAATGTAAACTAGAAGTGTAAAACATTATACACTTACAAAACTTAGCAAATCAATTACTTGATGCGTTCACTAATACAAAAAAAAAGTGACTAAATCATATGTACAAGTTAGAAATGCTCCCGCTCGGATTGAAATCCCAAAAGGACAATCTGAGAATGAAGTCATTGTTATTGTTATGTCTAAAACACGCCTAAAGTGTGGTAGACCTATCAGTTCTAAAGACAAAAATACTCTAAAAAGAAAGGGAGCAAATGAGCATAACGACCTCGATTTGGAGGAAAATGTCTAGGAGAAACACAAAATAATACAAACAAAAAGATTCTCGATATCGTAGAAAATTTTGAAGATTATGAGAATAGTGAGATCTCTATTGACTATATCAATACAGGAGGGATATGGAATCAAGATGAAATTGAAAATATTGATGAAATATTTTCTTAGTATGTGGCATGTAAAATTATTAATGGAATTGAGGATCCTGAACCAAGATCCGTTTCTGAATGCCAAAATAAACACGATTGGATCAAATGGAAAGATGCTAATTAGGGCTGTTCATAAACCCGAACAACCCGCAAACGCAACCCACCCCGCCCCAACCCAAGCCGAAAAAAGCAACCCGCAGTATTATTTTTAAATTTTCGGCCCATTATACCTCTGGCCCGAAGTGTTTGGGGCGGATTGCGGGTTGGGCCCATAACAACCCGCAATCCCCAACCCAACCCGCACAATATACCCCCAAGCTTTTGGCCCAAGCCGAACTGCCCAAGTTCTACCTTAGGCTCGCTAACATTAGGGTTCACAATCTCATTCTCGGTCTCCCTTCCCGTGAACCCCCTCTTCTTACCTCTTCTTCCTCTCCCGTGAACCCCCTCATAACTCTCTCCTCATTGCTCAGTCCTCTCGGCCGTCGTCTTGCCCACTTTCTCCGGTGCTCTCTCGCCGGACTGATAAGGATGGTTGCTATTTCTATTTAATGATGAAGTTTGAATATTATATTGAACTTTAAGTCTTTGATTTTTTGAATGTTGAAACCGACCACCCAACCCACCCCGCACCGCCCCAACCCAACCCGAACATCGTTGGGTTGTGAAATTTTTCTAACATCATTGGGGCTAAATATGTACAACCCGCACCCTTTGAGGCAGGGAAAAAAAAGTCCTACCCCGTACTAACCTAACCCATGAACAGCCCTAGATGCTATACATTGTGTTAAATTCATTTAATAAGCGTAAAAGTTTTGGACCTATTATCTTAAAGCTTGAAGCTGTAAGACTTGTGAGATAAAATGGGTTTTTATGTCAAAACGCAATGAGAAAAATGAAATTATAAGGTATAAAGCTCGACTTGTTGCACAAGGTTTTTCACAAAGACCCAAGATTGATTATGAGGAAACATATTCTCCTTTAATGGATGCAATTATGTTCAGATATTTAATCAGCCTAATAGTTTCTGAAAATTTAGAGATTCGTCTTATGGATGTTGTTACAGCTTATTTGTATGGATCGCTTGATAATGATATTTATATGAAAATTTCTGATGCATTTAAGATGCCTGAAGCACTAAATTCAAAACCTAAAGATATGTGTTCAATTAAAGTTACAAAGATATAATCGCTTAAGCGAATATTTGTCAAAAGAATGATGTGTGAATAATTCTATATGCCCATGTGTTTTTATTAAGAGAACAACATATGATTTTATTATAAACGATGTCTATGTCGATGATTTGAACATCATTGGAACTCATAAAGAAATTCAAGAAGCTGTGATATACTTAAAAGATGAATTTGAAATGAAAGACCTTGAAAAAATGAAATATTGTCTTAGTTTACAGATTGAGCACCTTCAAAGTGGAATACTTGTGCATCAATCAAACTATACTAAAAAGGTCTTAAAATGCTTTAACATGGATAAGGTAAACCCTTTAAGTACTCCAATGATTGTTAGATCACTTAATGTTGAAAATGATCCATTTCGCCCTTGAGAAGCTAATGAAGAAGTCCTCGGTCCTAAAGTACCATATTTGAGTGCAATAGGAGCTCTTATGTATCTTACTAATTGTACTCGACCATATATAATTTTTGCTACTAATCTATTAGCAAGATTTAGCTTATCTCCTACATGAAGACATTGGAATGGAATTAAGTATATATTCTGTTATTTTCAAGGAACATTTGATTTTGGATTATTTTATCCTAAAGGATCAAAATAAGGCATTATTGGTTTTGCAGATGTAGGATATTTGTCAAATCCACATAAAACCAGGTCTCAAACTGGATACGTGTTCACATATGGAGGTACTGTTGTTTCATGACGTTCACAAAAACAAACAATAATTGCCATTTCTTCAAATCATGTTGAAGTTATTGCACTCTATGAAGCAAGTCGGGAATGTGTATGGCTGAGATCTATGACTCAACATATCTAAGAAACTTGCGGACTATCTATCAGTAAAGATTTAACAGTATTATTTGAAGACAATGTAGCATGTGTCGTTCAAATAAAGGAAGGTTACGTCAAAAGCGACAGAATGAAACACATACCCCCAAAGTTCTTCTCATACTCTCAAGAGCTCAAAAAGAATAAAGATATTGATATTCAATACATTCAATCAAGTGACAATGCAACAAATCTTTTCACAAGGCACTTCCCACTACAACATTCAGAAAGCATATCCACAGTATTGGGATACGTCATCTGCGTGATTTACGAGTAAGGCCTATACATGTCAACTTGAGGGGGAGTTTACGTGGCTATACTCTTTTTTCTTTATTATGATTTTATCCCACTAGATTTCTTGAGAAGGTTTTTAACGAGACAACACATACACGTATAGATAAATGTACTCTTTTCCTTTTACTATGGTTTTTATCCCACTGAGTTTTTCCTAATAAAGTTTTTAACGAGGGATCATGAATGGTGGACATCTAAGGGGGAGTGTTATGAATAGTAGTTATCCATCTCAGTCAAAGTTACTATACAAGTCAGTCAAAGTTATTGTTCATGTCAGAATCTTACTGTGTAAATAGTAACTGTAAATAGTAAATATTGTGCAAATAGTAGCCGTGAATAATGCCAAAACTTTTCTTATAAATAGAACTCTAAGACTCTTCATTTTATATATTTTCACAAGATTAATGAAACTCTCTCTAATTTCTTTCTCTAAAGTTTTTCTTCTTAATTTTGTATTTTTTTAGTTTTCATAACAAAGGTTAAATTTTAGAACTTTTTAAATTAAGTAGGGAAAACGAGCACGTAACGCCACTCATCATTATGTGGCTCCATCACTTAGTACTCCATGTCTTATCTTTCTTACATTGATGATCCATTCACAGGTGTAAAACAAGTACTAAGAGAACCTAAAATCATTGTTTAACATATTTGTATATATAAGTTTTAACTCTTGTTTTAAAATAATTCTAATTGTTATTCAATAATAAAGAATTGTGTCGTGCTTCTAAAATTTACTTCAATTAGGGGAAGAAATTACTTTTTCATTTTGATTTGGAAGTGTTTTCAATAGCGAACTGCTATTGTTGTTTTATTTAATTTAAATTTTACTTTGTATGCACGTTTTTCTTTCTACTCATTAATAATAGGAAAATTGCAGTATATAGCCCAACATTTAAAACTTGTATAAGTAAATAACTTATTTATTGAGTGTTAAAAATAAA